CGTTTTCTTTTATCCTTTAACTTGTTTAGTTCGAATATACATAAAATATAACATAAACTTTCGATTATTTATAATATTTGATTAACAACAATGTTTCATTTTCAGGCAGGTATTCAGTAAAATAACGTTTGAATTAGGGCTAGGATATTTAACGCGTTAATCTGATGCGTTAATTTTAAATGTTTAACGCGTTAAAATAATTTAACGCACCACTTTATTAAGTTTTGGTTTCGGTTTGCAAAGCCGAATTCAAATACCATAGAAGCAGCTCGTCTTTAGTTTATCATATAAAAGCAAAACACAGGGTCATTATTTACGTTATTAGAGAGTATATAGGACCAAAACACCCGGTCATTATTGATGTTGCAATCCGCCAATCCGCGTTACTGCAGTACGGTGCGCCTAATCAGGCTTTTGACCAAACAAGTAAACCGTTAACCGATGTTTTAGATAAATAGATAGAAACTGCCGCCCAATAAACACAGTAGAAGACGAGGGACTGAAATAAATCATTCCAATTGCATTGGGATCCCCATCATACAATCTACTCTCTAAAACGATTGTTTTGAGACATAACCTGCTGGAGAAAGCAGAGAACGTCACTCTCATGGAGACCCTAACCAACCCGACATCACCAAACTTAATTTCACTTAATTCTGTTTGTCATTCATATTACAAAGGCTGTTATAGACTTCTTTAAAATTAATCTGGCAACTTTACATATAGTGCAATTATTTTGGCCTATAGGCTTAAGCTCTAAAATAATCTATCTTTGACATTGATGGTTTCACCTCACACTTTGTCATTTTGTTTTTGAAAAAGTTTTATTTCATTTGGACTATTGCCAAGATGATCCAGTATTTTTGATAACCTTCAGGGTTTAAATATATAACTTGCACTTCAACACTTTATTTATAAAGTTGCTATATTTGATAAGAATGACTATTCTGTATTGTTCACAGGAGAGACTATCATAAAATAATGTATTTAAAATATACTTCATTGTGTTAATTGATTTATTTCAGTGATTCAAACAACTTGGGGAAAATGCGATTAATCGCGATTAATCACAGGATTGTGCGATTAATTAGTTAATTTTTTTAAATAAATTCCCGGCCCTAGTTTGAATGTATTGTCCATCTTAACAGAAAAAGGCAAGAAATGAACAACCCATATGATAATATGATATTTCTCGACAAACGGGCTGGACAGACATAGAAACAAACAAATTGAAACACCTTTAAAAGCATTGTCATGCCACAGAGCATGATGTTAATTCTTTAAATGTATAATACATGTGATGGCTCACGGGGTGTATTATTTTAGTGTTTGATGAAAGCGCTCTAGGGCACCCTGACTGATTTTTTGATGACCTATCCGCAGTTGTTTTAAAATTTGGGCAAACATACGAGATGTAAAATTTGTTCCCCTGTCAGACTGAATAACACGAGGAATTCCAAATATAGCAATAAATTGAGTCAAAGCTTTCGCTACAGATTTTGTAGTAATATTTCGCAACGGATATGCAGCAGGGTATCGCGTAGTTTGGCACATCACGGTCAATATATAGATGGAACCAGTTTTAGAAGGAGGTAATGTCCCCACACAGTCAATAGTTAGATGCTCAAAGGGATTTTTCACCCCAGGTATAGGATACAACGGAGCAGGATAGATTACTTTGTTCGGCTTTCCGACCAATTGACAGACATGACACGTTTTTATAAAAGCAGCCACGTCTCTCTTTAATCAAGGCCAAAAGAAATAACGCATCACGCTGTGATAGGTTTTCTTTACTCCAAAATGACCAGCTATATCACCGTGAGCAGTTTTCAAAATTAACTCCCGCAATCCATTCGGTATCACTATTTGAAACACCGGGTCACCCAGAATCTTATCATAACACGGCGTCCATTTACGAAGTAATAATCCGTTCTGTGTGAAATATCCACTAGCCAGACTCTTCATCTCGTATTCTGTTTTAAACAATTCAAACAGTGTTCATCATCCTGAGTGTCAGGTTGCCCTAGAGCGCTTTCATCAAACACTAAAATAATACACCCCTTGAGCCATCACATACAATACACATGGCACTAGATAATTTTTATTGCAGTAGTTTTAAGGTTTGCATATGTTACAGGTACCGGGGCTGGCACCACGTAAACAGTGTATATGCTCTCTCTCTGAAACAGGAGAAATAAATCAGACAGGAAAAACTTTGCGTCCGTTCCTCATCTCGATCAGACAGAAAGAGCAAGAGAGGATTTATTCAACATTCACAATGTAAATCCTCCTCTATTACATCCACTTAATAACTTATATGAAATAAAACACGTCGTCAAAATAAAATGTGTCTTTTCACCTTTCAGCAGAAACTGAGTTAAAATGACAATAACCACTGTTAAAGTTGTCTCTTTTCAACTTACAATAGCTTTGGTTAACACTTACATATGAACATAGCCATGTTACCACTTTTATGGTCCCTTATTTTATACATGAGCTGACAGACTTTCAACATAGTTTTTCCTAACTCTAAAATATATAACATTCATTTTTAACATTTTACACAATATTATACATTACCCAACAATATAACTTTATAAAAATGTTCACGGAGCCAAAAATGGAACTCTGTCCGACGTAGCCTTGATAGCAACACGTGTCATTTCCATGCACGACAATACGGCTATTTATCTATGTACATATATCCACATTTTCATAAAACTCTTTTCAGCGGACATTGAAAACATTCAGTAACATGTTCACATATTACACTTTATTTACTTAGTATCATTTACCACTCCACTAACCTGAAACAGGAGAAATAAATCAGACAGGAAAAACTTTGCGTCCGTTCCTCATCTCGATCAGACAGAAAGAGAAAGACCGCAAAGCAACCCGAACTGACGTAAAGCTTCCTGTAGCACAATAATCGTCAGCCTGCCCCTGCTGGTGAACCCACGAATTACTCCTAACCTCTATATAAAATATCCGAGTGCAAGGATAGTGGAGACAGGTTCATTACCCCTGGACAAATGCTCAAAAACATTAATAATAACCATACAGAAAATACCACAAATGTGATAACAACTTTAGTGGGCATCACACATACTGTCCATATTTACACTTCATTATGTATATGTTTTAGCTATGTATATTCTGTATATTTTTTGTAATTCAGTTTTTTGTACACATGACAATACAATACTTTGAATTTGACTTGAAAGCATCTGCTTTTACTAGACTAGCATTTGAGTTTTAAAATTCTTTAAGAAATGGAGCATATTTTAATCAATTGTAAAGCAGGCACTCATGTCTGTCAAAAATGCGATTTAAATATAAAGTCTTAGTGATTACATACCCACAATAAAAAAATTATGTATCAACCGTTGTCTTTCATGTCGGCTCTTCTCCATGATTCGAGTAAACAATCGTACCTCTACCCTCATCAGACATAGCCTACTACGGATAATACTTACTGGGAAAGGGGAGGGGCTGCTGAACAGAAGGGTGTCACCAAAAAGACAAACTGAAACTGCAGCCTCCGGTTGTGCAGTAACACACGATTGTTTTTTTCACACACTTTGAATATTGTAGTGAACGCAATCATTCAGATTTGAGGGGACTCAGTGTGTTTAATTACACAGCACAACATAGGTTCTCTAGAGCTAGGAAGGGAAGTTCGATTGAAACATATGAAAGAGGTTGTCGAAGGTGTTGTATAAAAAGTATAGATGTCAATATTGGCAGCCATTCATGGTTTAGCAAGTTGGGCCAGTAACAAAAGGAAGCGATTTAAAATGCGCACTGACAAGGTGAAGTTAGTTAAGTCAATCATGATAAGAGCAACATATTCTCCCTTGTTTATAAGGGTTTTATGTGGTGGCTTGTCTCTGCAGCTCTCTTGCCAGCCAGTCATTGAACCAGTGGCGGTTCTACATTGAATTACACCCGGGGTGAGACCACCTTCAGGGGTGAACTATCACCTGCGCCCACAAAGATCTGTTGAAAAAATTTGATGTGGTTTACCATAGTGTCATATGTTTTGTAACAAATGCCCCATACAGCACCCACCACTGCAAGCTTTACACGTTAGTCGGCTGGCCGTCGTTAAGTACTCGGCGTCTAACCCACTGGTTCCAACTTGTCTATAAGTCCCTGCTAGGCAAAGTACCTTAGCTCCCTAGTTACCATTGCCCTACCCACCCGCAGTCTACGCTCCAGTAGGTACATTTCCTTAGCCACACCAAAGGCTTACACATCTTTCGGCCGCCAATCCTTCCAGTTTGCAGCCGCCAATGACTGGAACGAACTACAAAAAAACATAAAACTTGAAACACTCATATCACCAGTCGCCTTTAAACTACTCCTTTCTGAACACCTGTCCGATCTATGTACCTGCTAACTGTCTTCAACTCCTCTCCCTTACGATATGCCCACCTTGCACAGTGGACATCTCTCTCCTGCACTATTGTCATACCTGTGACTTTTGTATTACTGTTATTTACTCAGATATTGCTCAAATGCTCTTTCCCATATTCGTGGGCATATAAACCATGCAAATGACCTACCTGCTAGACTCACTTTATTCTTTAAATATCCAGTTGAATGATACTCACCGTATTTTTATATTTTAAAATGTATCCGCTTAGTGCCTTATTTATGCTGCTCAACAGAACCACATATACCTCATCCTGTTTTACTTGAACCAGTATTGCCTTGTGTCTTATTGTGTCTAAATTTGTAATCTTTGCACTTCTGTCTAAATTTGGAATCTTTGCACTCGTGTCTAAATTTGTAATCTTTGCACTCGTGTTTTATGTGTACTGTAACTGTATGTTGTATGTCGTCTTGCACATTTCTCGCCTTATCTTGGCCAGGTCGCCGTTGTAAATGAGAATTTGTTCTCAATCGGCCTACCTGGTTAAAGAAAGGTAAAATAAATAAAAAAATTATATTCTGAAAATAAAAGCTTAAAAACTATTTCAAAAGAGATATTATAGCAACTGGCAGGGGAATCGAACCCACAACCTCTGGTTCATCAGCCAAGCATACAAACAACTGCACCAAACAGTCATATAGCGGCGGAGGCGAGTAGTAGCTATTTGTTATAAGTCGCTGTACAGTCCCAGAATATGACGTAATTACGTCGGTAAGCGTGTTAGTGAAGGCGGGGCCATGGGGTGATATTACGTTTTGATTGGTCATTAAGCGTGTTTGTGAAGGCGGGGCCACGGGGTGATATAAACTCATTCAAAAGGAACACCAGGCTTGCTGCATTTTGACAGAGAACGCATTTTTTTTTAACAATAGCCTTCCATCACCATATCATTGATATTAATTAATCTATTTATTTAAAAAATTATCTGAGGTGCCGGAACGCAGTTCCGGACCGTTCTGGCCCACTTTAACCCCTGCCTGCGCCCCCCTCCCCTTCTCACACACGTCACTTTCTTAGCAAGCAGGGGCGTCAATTTGCCAATTCCCCACACAGTGAAATGATAGACAATAAAAAACCGCTTCGCGGCGCAGAGGATTTTTTTTTTAACTGCTCGTGCCGCCCCCCACGTGACATGAAAAAATGTCGCCCCGGGCAAATGCCCGGTTCGCCCGTGCCTAAAACCGCTACTGCATTGAACAATACACAGACACATATAGGCCTACCGACCATGCACGCACATGCACACATACACACAGGGTAGAGCCAAAATAGGCTAAACTGAAATGCGAGGAGTAAAAGATATTCAATTTTATTAGTAAAATGTGTATATAACATCCGGGTTTTACTTGAAAACATGCATAAACTGACTTTGCATGTAGTTAAATTAAAAATTAAAATAAATGATGGAATACCTTAAAGTAAAAATCTTCTGATAATTAACAATTTTAAAAAGTAGCTTTGGGTGAGAAGTTTAGGGCAGTTTTAAAGAAAGATGAAACCCGCAATTGGTATGACAAATGGGTGCCCAACTTTGCGCAAATATATTTACAACAATATTTTTTACCTTAATCTTTCAACAAGTTGAGCAGTTCCATCATCAGGGCATGATACTGCCTTCACCATAATTTACTTTAGGATGATGTATCGAGGCATCGGCAGTGTTAGGTTTGCATCACACTGGTGTTTTGGGCCAACAAGCTGACCACACATGGTTCACAGGTGGGGGGAGATTGTTTTACTAACATAAAACCAATCACCTTGATTGAGTGTCAGTATTTTAATACAACATCAAGCAGAATGCAAATGTAACAATTGCAATTCAGTGAAATGATTAGCTAAATACTTCTGCAAGGCACTGAACGTTTTTTCCTGTCCTTTGACACATATCTCACCTTCCACCCACACTAACCTCACTGGGTGCTAAAGTTTGTGTAAAAACATCATCGCTGTCAACATTCACAGATTGGCTTCATGTGTGAACTGGTTGTCCCTACCAGCACCTTTTCAATATGCCCTTCACCTGTAGTGTTTTCATGTTTTATTTCTTTTAAGGATACACATTTTCTCCAGATCCATTTATTATTGAAGTTAATTCATATCTCTAGCTAACTATTCAGGGAATAATATGTAATAATAATAATAAAAAAGAGGACAAAGGTATGAATAAAATGTTGTTTTGATATGAATGTGGGCTTTTATGTGATGATATTGTAACAGATTTATATAAAGGTGTCACGTTCTGGCACGGCTCCAATGCCCTCTCTCCCTCACATCCTTATGGACACTTGTTTTGCACCTGTTTTCCTTCATCATGGATCCTAAACAAGTTCCTGCTTTCCTGGGAGGGGCTGGTCCGGGCACTCACGCAGAGGGGGGAGGAGCCACTCAAGGTTCTTGTCAGGTTTGTTTTTTGTTCCTGACCAGTTTGTTTTGTTTTATTAAAGCTCCTTCGTTTGCCCCGTGCTTGTGCCCTGTCTACATGTTTGCAATCCTGACAAAAGTAACTGTGACTAATCAACGTGAACCAGGAAGTGGTGCACCCGAAACCAGACAGTGCAGTACCCTAACTCACCACACGTGACAGAGTGGCGCTAAAAAAAGATTCAGCAAAATACATTTTGAATAGAACATTAGAGATTTAGGGATTCAGGATAAGTACTTTTCTTTCTAATAATGACCCTGACCATTGACATGGCATTTGGACATATTGCTGTTATTGTCTTTTTCCGTGGCATGATTTTTAACAAATGATGGGGCAAAACCAATGTGAATTGCAGTATCTAGTATTTTAGCTCATGCCAGATATTATGTGTTACTTCATCCTTAATTAATTAAACATTTCCACAAAATCCAGACAGTTTTCTTTTAAATGCCCTTTACCAAATCTTCCTACATGTGAGAACTCCCTCAGAAGCCAGTCTACCGCCACCTGCGGGTAGGCTTCGGCGTCATCCTCTCCGGCCTTCTGAGCCACCATCGTTATCATCTCCCCCTGCACACCTTGTTCAGTCTTATCATCACTACACCTGGTGTCCATTATCTCATTAGAGGACTATTTAAGTTCCCTGTGTTTAGTCTTGTCTTTGTGTGGAATTGTTGAATGTTACGTGTTGCTTACCTAAGGAATCTCGTTGTGAGATCTAGTTTATTATACTCTGTGTGAGGAGTCTGCTTCATTTACTAAATGCGCTGCGACGCATCTTTATCATTGAAACTACAGCGTTTAACGCACTATACTGCATTCTTTGGACTGGTGTCTTTTACATTAAAAGAATCATGAACGTTATCCGTTCCTGGCTTCATCCTTCCGTCCACCTACACACCGTGACACTACATGGTTCCAGAGCAATGTCCATTTAGATTGAGGTGGGTCAATTTAGGCGGATATTGAGATTTGGGGCCCTATCAAGAACCTGTATGGCATCACAAGGTATTCAATGAAGGTAACAGATAAAGGCTGTTTTCCAGTCATCTCCCTCTCTCACTAAATTGTATGCGCTCCTGAGATCTTACTTTGTAAAAAAGCGTGCCCTGTGCCTTGACTCGTTTGCAGATCAAATCAGTCGGAGAGTGTGATGACTAAAATTACTAGTCCCAAGAAGTCATGCTCTCATCACCTACCTAATCCTATGGTACTCCACTTGCCCTGCACACTGCTAGCCTATTTATGGTATTTTGCCTTTTGCAAATCAATTGTACTATTCGTTCACCACTTGCACAGATGTTCTCCGCTGGTGTGCCATCTGAACATTTGCAATTTGCTACATTGTTGAACAGAATACCTGCACATTTATTTATCCATGTGTCACGATGGTGTGGGGGCGTAGCTACACTTCCATTTCGGTGATCCACTTCTGTGTTTTTGTTCTCACTAGCTGTGATTACTTCCTCATTCACGTGGTCACAGCTGTTAGTAATCTGTCACTTAATCTGGGATATAAGAGGGTCGCGAGCAGTGCACTCGTTGCTTCGCATTGTTTTATGTCACACGTTGTTGGTAGGTGAGTGTTTGTTCATGTGGATTTGTCGCTGTGTTGGGTTTTGTAGTTGTCGCCTTATGTAAGCACACTTTTGTTTCTCACAGTGTCTATTTAGTTCCAACGTTTGTTGTCGTGTTTGTTTTATTTAATAAACTACACAAAACGTAATTATCAAGCTCTGCAATTGGCTTCAACCGCACTACACCACCCTGGTTCGTGACAGAATGCGAAGCCACAAACAAAGAAGCCAGCAGAGCCGGACGGTGAGTGGATTCTGCGGGGGGTCAAGCTATAGCGCCCCGTCGGATGAAGCTCACCGTCTCCCCACGGAGCGGTGGGAGAAGCGGCCGGTTACATCGGGTCCGCGGTCTTTCCAGGGAGAAGGCAAGAGGGCATCCCGGAAGCACCCCGAAGTAATTTTTGGGGGGGAGCTAACGGGGTGTCCTGGGAGGACCGCGGAGAGTACACCCACGGCCCGGGTGCTGCAACAGCAGCCACCCACTGCTCCGGGGCTGCAGCCAGGACCAGCAAAGACCCTGGAGCTGCAGCTACCCGTCCGGACCCGACTGGTCGAGGACCCCTTCCGGCCACCAACATCCAGTGGTCAGTTACCACCAGAAGGCCTGGAGTACCAGCCTCCAGAGGTGGTTAGGAGATGGTGGGGGGTGTGGTTCACCCTACTCGAGATGGGCCCAGACGACATGGCGAGAGCAACGAGACTTCAGCAGGAATGCCTTGAGTGGCTCCTCCCACCTCAGCGTGAGTTCCAGGATGAGCCCCTCCCACCATTGCTTAAGTGCCCTGAGCGGCTCCTCCCACCACAGAGTGAGTTCCAGGATGAGCCACTCCCACCTTTGCTTGAGTGCCCTGAGAGGCTCCTCCCCCCTCTGCGTGAGTGCCCGGACCAGCCCCTCCCACTACAGCGTGTGTGTCTTGAGTGGCTCCTCCCCCCTCTGCGTGAGTGCCCTGACCAGCCACTCCCACTAAAGCGTGAGTGCCCTGAGAGGCTCCTCCCCCCTCTGCGTGAGTGCCCGGACCAGCCCCTCCCACTACTGCATGTGTGTCTTGAGTGGCTCCTCCCCCCTCTGCGTGAGTGCCCGGACCAGCCCCTCCCACTACAGCGTGTGTGCCCGGACCAGCCCTTCCCACTAAAGCCAGAGCGTCCCCGCCTGCCAGAGCTCCCAGAGCGTCACCGCCTGCCAGAGTTCCCAGAGCGCCACAGCCTGTCAGAGCTCCCAGAGCGTCACCGCCTGCCAGAGCTCCCAGAGCGCCACCGCCTGCCAGAGCTCCCAGAGCGTCACCGCCTGCCAGAGTTCCCAGAGCGCCACCGCCTGCCAGAGCTCCCAGAGCGTCACCACATGCCAGAGCTCCCAGAGCGTCACCGCCGCCTACCTCGATGGCCTAAACTACACGAAACGTAATTATCAAGCTCTGCAATTGGCTTCAACCGCACTACACCACCCTGGTTCGTGACACCATGTCGATTGCACATCGTTACACTGTACTCCACATCTGCGCTGCTCTTATGCACTACTGGTTGGATACAAACTGCATTTTGCTGTACTGTTCTGGTACTGTACAATGACAATAAAGTTAGATCTAATATTATCTAAATCTGTGACAGAATTCCACACCTCAGAGAACGATGGAGACAG